AATCCTTCTAACGTTTGTCTGTAGTATGATCAGTTATTTATAATAACATGATCTCTGTAATATTATAGAATATTTTAGTGATTAAATGTTGCAGTAAGTGATACTCATTGTAGTTTCAGCATTGCCTGCATAGATTATGTTATTACTGGGCCAATGATCATAATCACTAAGATGACAATCATATAATGTCTGGGTTGTATGTAGTATGGTAGATTGTGCATTTGCAGCATATTGATTCGTGTTTGGGATACTCAGACAGGTGAGTCGAGTTCTGTGTTGTAGTATGCTACGTGTGTGCATGTGATGTGTAGAACTGCATGGAGCATAGGCATAGTAGAGTGTAGATAAAGTGTAGGCAGGGAGTGCAAGGCTCATAACCTGTTGAGAGGGGTTATGTGAGAGGCTTAGAGGGATCACACAAAGAGGGGGGATAGTGGACTCGGCTTGCTCTACTTAGCATCATTGTCTGTTGATTCAGTAGGTATATATAATATGTAGCTATGTCTCAGGTACGTCCGTTGCTTATATGCGTCATTCCATATATGTTAACATCATCAATGCATGCACCTTAATCAAAATTTACTAAATTTGAGTTATAAAGATGTGCAACATGCCTCGAGTTGTATTAGTTTTCTCAACAACTAATGTGTGTGAACAGGCTTACTATATGCCTGGGGAAACTCCATCTTGGGTAGGTGCATGTTATGCACATCTCGTCTTCCGCAATAACATCATTTCTAGATTGGATAATTATTCTTTGCATGGATTGTCAGTTTTCCGCTCGTTCTCCACAATTTCTATAAAACAAGTTCCACAGACATTCTGTATCTGAGAGTCCGGGCATTATACTCTCTCGTTGAGACCAGTCATTATCTAGCGCACAAGGAAAATACAAACTACTAACTGCCTGTAGAAACGAAGCATAGAAAGATGGTCATGTGCATCCGCGTCCTATACATTTTAAATACTATGGTTAGTCTTGCAAGTTTAATTTATGGGGTATTAGTAATAGAAAACTGCAAGTACAATTCGCAATCTTCTTCTGAAAGAAAACTAATCACGTCTAGCATAGGGTCAAAAGAAATCGTCTATAGTGGACTGGAAGTTTGTTATTCTGACGGGGACGTAATTTGGCCAAGACTAGTTTACTGGTTGGTGTCAATTTCTCAACGGCTGCTCATGTGTTTATAATTTTCAGGTCTGCTCCGTTATGTTATGAGATCATCTTACTGTGCCTGGGCTTGTCTAAAGCAAGGGAAATTAGGACGTCTCTAGGTTTTCGTGGATTGAGACTACTGAGGGTAATTATTCACGATCAAGCTATCTATTTTGTATTGTAAGCATACTGTTATTCTCCAGTGTTTACAAACTCAACTGTTTGAAAGTGCCATGCTGTGTAGTCTTCCAAATATCCTTTCGACGAGCGGAATAAGTCCTCCAGCACAGCAGATAGCATCCCTTGCCCTTTTCAGCGTCGTTGGAAGTGTAAACATGCTTTCTCTGCTTGGAAGCCGCATGCTTCTACGTCTGAAAGAAGCGGCGGGAGAAAGGCTGGATCGCGATGCTAGCTTTCGAATCTCAGCAAATCTGAGCATTGCGGAATTTCGGGCTTACACTACTGCTTGCCCTGGGCTTATTGAGGACGAAGAACACTTGGAAGACGTAAATGTACCCAATATGTAGTTATGGTCTAAAGTTCGGCACTGGATAAACAATATGGGGTGAGTACTGTTACTGAAGAAACCTGTTTCAGCACATCCTGAACTCTATAGTAGCTCTCGTCATTCTTCTGTTTTGGATGAAGTTTGAATGCTGTTCTGCTGAACCACCCTGCTTACTGTTCCTACACGTATTACTGATTATGTTACAATGAAAATTTTGCAGAACCAGATTTGTAAAGTAACAATTGCCTCTTTATCTGACCAAGCTGCCTGTCCTAATTAATCTCATACATTATACTGACTGTCTTTACACCAAGATTCAATGTATAATATCTGTTGTAATGTATTTACACTTATTAGCTCTTCTGTTACTTTCATGTATCTGTCTTACATAGTTCAATCTCCTGCTACATGTGTCTCTTCAAGGTAAATATCATGCATCCAAAACAGAGAACCAGGTATTAATAGCAGACAATACTATGTGTTGTTGTATAGGTTACAGTGTCAAGAAGCTTAAGAAAACAGTCTGTGAAAAGTGTAAGGTACTAGAGTATAACTTGTATCTGTTACAGTCAAAACTCTGTCAACTGTACAGCTTCCCTTAGTACAGTAGTAAACTCTGTACTTAAAAAGACTCTATTACTAGTAAGTACAAGTTATTCAAATTACATTTTCAGCTATAATGTTCTTATTAGATTAGATAATAATTCTTTACATAGACTGTTAGTTTAATTCTTAATCATTACACTATCCTTTTAACTAAGTTTTATAAACATATTATACTTAAGAATTTATACTCTATATTCTTTTAGTAAACCCTAAGCAAAAACTGTACTTAGGACAAATGTCTATTATAAGTAACATATAAAAACTAGAAAAAGTAACATAATAAAATATATTCAAAACTTATATACTCTTAATTGTGTTGTAAGTTTTAGTGTATAAAGTATTAATAAAGTAACACAAGTGTATTTTAGAGATTGTCTTTCAAATTCACTTGTTGAATCCAGTATAATTTTTGTTACTATTATTTATTTTAGTTTTTAAGTCTGTTTACTAGAAAAGACTTTATTAGTTAGTACAGTAGAAAATGTCTTATTGTATCACATTATAATGTATAAATGGTATAATGTATAAACTTTTGGTCAGATCAAAACTCAAATTCTTAGCTAAAATGTATTATCATAATGTATAAATTGTATAATACATTAGGTTTAGCCCTCTCCTAACATTATACAATAAGACATTTTTAACTGTATTGACTTTCTTAGTTATTACATTTGTACTCATTACTTTTAAGCTAGTTTTATTATATTATAAAACTATTTTACTGTGTTTTAGTCTGATAAAGTTATACAAATTCAATAGTTTCTAATCTTTTGTAGATTGAACTTGCTAAAAATAGTTTTTTACAATCAGACTATGTATTTTGTATAAGTATAGTGTCTTTCTAAAGAATTCTTATACTCAACTTTTTAAAGAGTTATAATTTATAGTATTATAACTTTTAGTCTAAGTACTATTAAGGATTTAACACATAATCCTATATTTCTCACATTCTTTTGTGTTTTAAGAGTGTAAGTATACTGTCTTCTCTCTGAAACTGTATTTTAATACATCTGAAAAGAGTAGCTAAGGAAAAACTTAAGTATTCTAACTAATTTTAAGTTTTGAGAAATTTGAGTATTATAGAATCTCAGATTTACAGTTAGCTACTATAAATTTGTTAAAGATAGTAAGCAATTAGAAAATGAAGAAGTATATATATACAGGAATCATACTTTAAAATCTGAAATAGGTTAACTAATGTATAGTACATAATTTTGTCACATTATATTATTTTAGTATACTTAAAACATAGTAAAAATTCTAGTCATTCTTGTACTTAGTATATAGAGTAGAAACTAATCTGTTGTATTTTACCTACAATCTCTTATTATAATAGTATTACTGACAATACTTAAAAAGTTGATCTTAACTCTAATCTTATTAGATAGTAAGATAGTAAGTGAAAGGATTTGATTGGATTTGTAATAGCTAACCAAGTAACAGAACAAGCACTATAAGAAACACTAGATGTACAAATGTAGGAACCAGAAGAATGCAAGAAATGTGATCATGTAACACAATTGTAAGAACAAATGTTAAACATTCTAACACAACAATTAACTAAGGATAAAGATATAAGGGAAAGCTAACAGATTAACCTACTAACAAAAACAATACAAGTAGTTGATAGACATCTATTAATCAGTAAAGCAAATTACTGGAGACAACTGACAGTCTATATTAGAAAGAAGATGCTACAAGACAGAACAAGCTTTAAAGTACATATAATCAAAATAAATAACCTACACATACATAGTAAATGTATAAGTGTACAAATACACTTACACATACTAGTGTATTGTTAGGAATTGTAAAATACAGTAACTAAGTTTGGAAAAGCTTAACTCAAGACTAGGGACCAAGTAGTTTATATACAAAACCCTATTAGTCACAAGTCTAGAGATTGGCCAGATCAACTAGGCTACCTTTGTTGTCCTACTTAGTAAGAACTCCAGCTCAGTATTATTAACCTCTAATCATTACTAATGGGTGATCAATCTATTAGTAGAGAGAGGGGACAGGAAGGAGTAGGTACTAAGTCAGTTAGGAAAAGGTAACAAAACCTGAGGACAAGGTCTTTATCTCTCTAAGGTTAAACACATACTTGAGTACAGTATTACTTGATAACCTTAACTAAAGACAAGTCATTTAGAATGCTTGTATGGAGAGGGGATCTGGAAAGAGTATAGTGTCTAGAGTAAGAAGTATAAAGGAAAAGACTAGGAGAAAACCTGAAGAGATAAAAGGAAAATATTATACTTACTTAGAGAGAAACTATATAGCTAGCTAGGAACACTTTATACAAAGACAAAGGACTATTAAAGCTAGTAAAGAGCTAGAGCTAATACTCTGAAGCTCTATACTTGAGGAGGACTAGTACTAGTGAAGGAAAGGGAACTAAGAGCTCTAAGGAGAGACTATAGGAAAGTAGTCTCCTTTATACACTTTACCCATATAGATAGGAAAGTAATGAAGTTATAAACATAAGGACTATATAAGGACAACATAAGGAATACATGAGACAATCTAGAACTTTAGTTGTAAGTTCTATGATTGAATACAGAAGTATAAAGATAAGGCTAGAAGTTAATAAGGATAATTGTCTCCTAAACTAAGTCTATTAAAGAAGACTTAGAGAAAGATTTAGAACATTAGTTGTCAGTTCTAGGGTGTACACAAGATAGTCTAGAACTTTGGTTGTAAGTTCTAGGGGTAGTACAGAAGTACAGCCTTTTATATTACAAGAGTTATAAGGAGTCATTAGAAGTTATAATACTCTACCTTATGAGAAAGTGTATTACAAACTAGTGTACAGGAAGTACAGGTCAAGTCAGATAGAGTCATAGGAACAATAGAGAGCTCTACTTTATAGGAAAAGCATTACACAGCTTACACAGTATAACTAGTTAGGAGGACTCATAAGGAGTCATTAGAAGTATGAGAGGAAGTATAGAAGACATAATAATACAGTAAAGGAGTTATTAGAAGATTAATCTAGGATACAAGAAGACACAAACTAGTGTTAGCAGATTAATAGAAGACACAAACCAGTGTAGTATACAGTCTAAAGGATTAGCCAACTCTACTTTATAGGAACAACAGTGAAGGGAGTTACTAAAGTTACTAGAGTAACATTACTCTAGTAAAAGGTATATAAGGAGGCTAGTTTGGCCCACAAAAGATAGTTTTATTAACTTAAGTTACCTAGTACTTAGAAGTACTCTACTACCAACCTACTAGGCTACACTTGTAGCTTGACTAAAGTAGGACTCCTCTACCCTCTCACTCTACAAGTCTACAAGTCTTACTCTCTATACTCTATTCTGTTACTATTCTTAAGGATTAAGACTAGTAAAGTGAGTATATCTTACACTTTAATAAAACTCCAACTTAGTTACAAATCTTTACTATTCTAGTAAAGCTCTAGTCTACTAAGAGGAACTTAAACCTGGAGCTAGCACACAGGTACATCAACTCTAATACTTACTTTATAATATTAACTAACCTTAATAATTAACATTCAAAGTGAGTAGATAAATTACTCTACTACTTAGAACAGTTGTTAAGGTAAGTAACTTTCTTTTGTAGTAAGAAAAGAAAGATTAATTAAGAAGTGCTACTAGTTCTTAATTACTTAGTAGCTTATACACAGGAACAAGTGTTAATACTAGGAGGTATTAAAGGAATACCATTTTAGATACAGGGGGAAATTCCCTTAGACTCTTTCAAGCAAGGAAAAGTAGTATCAACTGTTACCTATATAGTAGGCACTCCTATAAATCAACAAATCTGGATTGAACAAATCCAAGAATACTCAGACTATCTATACACATTACAACAACATTGTAATTTGTTATACAGTACATTACTTACACTAGAACAAGGATATTCAGATATTACAAAAGTAAGTAACTTTTGTAATATTATATTAAACAAAGTTAACAAGCTTTAAAAAAGTGGCTTTGTATCAGATTAAGGAAAGGATTGGAACATTACACATACAACAACTAGTACTAGGCACAGGTAGAAGCCTATTATTATACAGCCCTTTATTATCCAATCCCTCAACTATTCTTATATTCCTACTACTTGTAGGAACACTCCTTGTTACACATACTTAGAGTAAAAGGAAGAGACAATTAGGGAACAGTACAAGATTGGCTCAAAGAAGAGGTTCACACTCTAGCCACTCCTATTCAAATAAATTAGGGACCTATTATAGCCTTTAGATTACAAGGACAAAGACTTGGATACAACAATTTTTAAGTCTTAACAGAATAATTAGGTCTACTCAAAGTTAAGACATACATTATAGAACTATACAAGGGGAAATCACATACTTGTATAGTCTTATACAATCAGATCTAGATATACAGGGATTGAATATCTTTAATATTCATACAAAGCTATAGG